GTTTAGCATTCCTAGTTCCCCTAGTGTTTGTCTGTGACCACAAGGATCTCTGTGTCTCCCACAGTTGAGGGGAGAACCTGGACTTGTGTGTAAGATGTGCATCCTGGCCTGAGGTAGAGGTTGATGACAGTGTAAGTGGAGCTCAGCAGGGCAATGGGTGTGGAGCCCAGGCTGGATCAGAGGAAGGGGGAGGGTGTGCAGAGAGTGGGATTAGTCAGGCCCACCAGGCTAGACCTCAACACAAGATATTCAGGACAGGACTGGCTCTAGAGATTTGAGGTTGCAAGGAAAAGATGAAATCATCAGATTCCAGTGGGGAAAGCCAGAATTTATTTATCATTTATTTATTCATTTGAGACAGGCATCACTATTCTGTAGCTCTAGCTGTCCTGGAATTCACTATGTAGACCAGGCTGGCCTTGAACTCACAGAGATGCATGTAGCTCTGCTTCCCAAGTGCTGGGATTAAAGGCATGTGCTACCATACCCGGATAAAGACAGAAATTTTTCAAAGATATTTTCTGTTATTGTTATTTTGCTTGAATGTATATTTTCTGCTCTGTTTTTACGAATAAAATATTTTTTAAATTTTTATATTACTTGTCGCGGAGTTTTGACTACATATATGTATGTATATCACGGGTGAACAGTGACCACAGAGGTCTGAAGATGACATCAGGTTCTATGGAGCTGGAGTAACACTTGGTTGTGAGATGTCATGGAGATGCTGGGCACCTAACCTGGGCCTCTCCAAGAAAAACCAGTGCTTGTCACTTGTGAGCCTGCCCTCCAGATTCACCCTCACTATTTTAAATATTTAGTTTTATTTTCTCTGGTAGTTTTTCTTTCTTTAAAATATCTTTAGTTATCCAAATCCTTGTCCTGTAATTGCACTCTTTTTTTAGACCTTCAATTTTTTCTTTATTTTTTATTCTATTTTTTCATTTTTATTTCTTTGTCTTATAACTAATGTTACCTTTAAATTTTGTGACTCATTCTACAACAATGTTAGTCACTTCTTTTCTATTGACAGTGTTCTTTTTACTTAGGTTTTCCTCATTTGTACAACCTTTGCTCGTATTTGAAGTGATTATTATTTGCCTTCTTGAAATGTGATCCTGCAATCCCAGGTCAACAATTTGAACACATGCCATACATATATCCATTGTTTATGTTCATTTTCTCAAACACCAGGATGAACAATTGCTGTTTATTATTTCAAAACCCCAGAGACTGGTGTCTGTGGGCTCTCTCAATGCAGCTTTCCTAGAACTTGAAAATCTTCCTAGCCTCTTCGATTTGTTTGGCATCAAGGGGAGGCTTTCTCTGGCTGCCAGGCTGTAGGAACTTCTTCACATTGGGCAGGCTGCTGAGTCTGCTCTTCAGGGCCTGTAATCCAGAAAACACAGCCTGAGAGTCAGAATGGCTTATGTGGACAATCCAAAAAACTCTGAGCCCCTCCCAGAACGTGACCAACTGCATCCTTACAACAGCTCCAGTGTAGACATGAGAAAAATGATAAAACCATTAGCTGCATCCACAGTTCACAATAACCCAACTAAAGACCTCCTTTGACATCCACTTACCTCCTCCTCTGGTCCCTGACACACCCTATGGTCTGGTTTTGTGGTGCAGAGCACAGAGCACTGTGTCTCTCAGGTGTGAAAACAGAGACTACCAAAGACAACTGAAGACATGAAAAATTGAGTTGGAAATGGACACAGAAAATCTCAGTCTAACTAGGAGCAAGTGGCAGCCAGTTTTCACCCCTGGAGATAAGGTTGGGATAACTGGGGGATGGAAGATGTCATGGTGGGTGTTGTAGAGAGGGAAGCACAGTGTTGAGTAGTCAGAGCTGAGGAAGGGGATCAGCATGACAGAGACCTGCTGAGACACTGAGTGTGCAAAGACAGGACACTTGAGATGAAGATGAAGGCCAGAAGCATCCTGCAAAAAACAGGGGTCCAGGGAAACTCTTGCATCTTTCTCATGACAAAAGGCAAAATATTCTTCTTGGGGTACCAGCCTTCAGTCTCCATACTCAAAAGATAATTTTCTTGCCTGAAACCAGGGTCTAGTAGCTCAGTTTGGAGGCCAAGGATGGGGCCTCAGTAGCCCCAAGGCCACCATTATATTGTCAGAGGCATGTGTGTGCGGCTGCCTCTCTGAGGTGATCTCACCTTCAGCAGGGGGAAAGGGGCCAGAAGGCTGGAATCAAGCTCTTCAATATAGAGGAGAAGTTCCAGCAGGTGAATGTCCACCCTGGTCAGCCTGTTGCCAACAAGGTAGTCTTGTCCATGGCTCTTCAACACCTGCAGAATTAAAGGAGACAGATTATGAACATAGAGTTGGGCAGGGACCACTGACTTTTCCCAAGTCTCCCAAGGGGTGGCTCTGCCTTTGCCTGGCAGGGATAGAGGTGCGGACACTTCTCTAGGCCTATGATACAAGAGGGAGAGGGAGAAGTCAGGCAGGCAGCCTCCTCTTTAAAGTTCACATGACCTTTCTCTCTCATTGCCAGTTCCTATGGCCTTCACACCACCCACCTTCTGTACATTTTCCACCTGTGGTAAGGATTAGCCCTGACACATCTTGTTCTTCCTCTTATTTTAAGCTGACAGGACACTGGAATGTCAGGACTTTCCTCTGCCTGTGCTCTGTTCAATCTCTCTTGGGCAGATGCTCCGCCTGCAGGGAGCATCAGTCACAGAGAACATCCCCTGTCTGCATTCTCCTGTCTGCTCTCCTCAGGTCTCTGGAATCTGAAGTACACCCAACTGAACTACAGCACATCCTCCCCTTTACAGCATTGGCTCTGACTTCCATCCTTCACTGGACTCCCATCCTTCACTCTGCCATGATTGACATGCTGAATTGCACAGGGTGAACTGAGTTGGAGTCTGTAAGTAACAATGTACTGATAACACATGAATGTTGAGAGATGAGCATGCCAACACCATATGGTGCTAATCTTGCTATTGATTGGCAGCTATGTATTTATTTATCATTGATGTCAACATTTCTGGTTGTGTGAAGACTGGATAATAATACTGTGGTGGTATTGTGTTCCCCAAAATATTGTGTACTCTAATAAATTTATCTGGGGTCAGAGAACAGACAGCCACTAGATACAAAGGCTAGAAAATGGTGGCACTCACACCTTTAATCCTAGCATTCCAGAGATAGAAACCCCTCTGGATCTCTGTGAGTTCAAGGCCACATTGGAAATAGCCAAGCATGGTGACATATGCCTTTAATCCCAAAAAGCCAGCCTTTAATCCTAGGGAGTGGTGGTAAAAAGCAGAAAGATATATAAGGCGTGAGGACCAAAAACTAGAAGATTTTGGCTGGTTAAGCATTTGGCTGGTTAAGCATGTGGCTGGTTAAGCTTCAGGCTTTCCAGCAGCAGTTCAGCTGAGAGCCATTGGGATGAGGACACAGAAGCTTCCAGTCGGAGGAAACAGGACCAGCTGAGGATCCGGCGAGGTGAGATAGCTGTGGCTTGTTCTGTCTCTCTGATCTACCAGCATGGACCCCAATAACTCACCTCAGGTTTGATTTTATTAATAAGAACTTTTAAGATTCCTGCTACATAATACTATCTTAGTTACATTCATATGGCATTTACTTAAATATCCCAGCAATATGAAAATCACAGATAACTGCAAGGAAAATCACTTCTTAAATCATGAACTACAAGTAAAGAACTATAAACGGCTTTGTGGTCACCTTATCACTCTATACATGTCTAGAGAGAAAAATATAATTAGCACATCCAAAAACAAACGGAAGCCAGGCACAGTGGCACACACATAATTCCAGCACTCAGGAGGCTGAGGCAGGTGGATCTTTGTGAGCTCAAGGCCAGTCCACATAGAGAGTTCCCGAAGAGCCAGAGCTGCATAATAGAGAGATCCTGTTTTGTTTTGTTTTGTTTTAAAAAGGAAAAATGAAGAAAAACTAAAAATACAAAAAGCAGCATCAAATGTTCTCAGGACATAGCTCATTGTGTGCATGGAGGTTATGAATCTCATACGCCATGTGCAGTAAGCTGTGATGGCTGGACATTATATTCTAGGAGACAGTGCCTTGACTCTAGAGGGCTGTGTGAGGACCCGATGGTCCTAAAACCCTCCCACAGAGCAGAGACATCAGTGAGTGAACTTTCAGTGAAAGGATGAAATATAAGGTGATGCTTTGTAACATGGGGGTCACAGTCAAATCTCTCCTGAATGTGTAGGATGCCCATATCCTCTAGGATCATAGCTCTGTTCTTACCTTTTACTTGACAGAAAATCAAGTATTTATGAAGTGTTCTTGATATTCCTCCAAAGAGAAGCCCTGACTAAGAGAGGCACTCCATGTCACTGACACACTTTCATTTGCTGAGTGTGCATGGCTCTTCCTCCAAGCCTGGCATTGAGACCCCAATTCTGGCAGGTCAGTTTTCCTTAAATCACTTCATCAGCCTTCTCCTTTCAACCCTCCATCCCTATCCTTGTCAGGCACTTCCCCTCTGTCTTTGAAGCACTATCATATTATGACATCCAGTCACTCTCTGCCTCGCTGTGTTTTCTGACAGAATATTTTCCCATCTGTGTTTTTCTTGAGTTTACTCTGGCATTGAAGCCTGTTGTGTTCTGCAGGATCTGGGTCCATCCTGGTGTGGCTCAACTTTCACAGATCAAGTTCTGGTTGTGGCCACGAACCCTGTTGAATGCTGACCCCTAGACTGGCTTGACCATGCAGGGCTCCTTCACAGGCCATTTTCCACAGTGCCCTGTGGGGCAGGGGGCTGCACAGAGAGGCTCATGGAAGGTCAGTACTGCAGCAACCTTTCTCTCCCAGACTCTACCTTTCTCCTGTCCTTGGAACTCAGTGTCCCCTGACTTCAAAGAGCCCACTTACTTTTTCAAAGGCAGGCAAGTACCGGTTTTTGGTCCTGTCTTTTATCATGGAAATCTTGGCTTCTTT